CCCATGGGGACTTTGAAAGGCATGGGACTTCCAAGAAGATCATAGCTGTCTCTGGGCAAGCACAAGCTCGCTCTCTCTCTCTTTCTCTCTCTCTCTCTCTCTCTCTCTCTCCCCCTTCCTCCCCTCCCTCCAACATCAGCCTTGGCAAATGAGCAGGAAGTGGAATGGCAGCTCCCTCCTCCGCTCCTCGCTCCTCCCGGCACTGGTGAGCTAACATGTCTGGAGCACATTTTACCGATCTTGAAACAAAGGCTTGGCCATAGAACTGAAGGCCCGTCCTCTCTGACACCCTGACAGGGTGGAGGCAGTCATTCACAGAGCACCAGAAGATGACTCCTGGTCAGGCAGCACTCACTGGAAGCATCTGTGATATGCACTCAGGCCATCGACCCTGCCACCTCAGGTCACAAAGTCGTGACCCTCACTTTTACAGATGACTAAACCAAGGCCCATATCAGCGAGAATGTACTTCTATGTCAATTGCTGTGAAGGGGGGAGCCCCACTGGCTGTCACCTGACCATCCCCTGCTCCTGCTACCAGTGTCTCCTGGGAGGCTCTGCAGATCCTCAGTCTGACATCCCATCCCATCCCCAAGAGGAGAGGAAGGGGAACATGGCCAGCGGTGAGCACTCACCTCCTCGAAGCTGTCAATCATGAAGAAGATGTTGGGGTAGCTCATCTTGGACTCTTCTCCTTTGCTGTCCATGGGGTGTTTGCTGGGGGACGCAAACACTTGCTGAAAGGAAAGCAGGAGGAAAGGGCTGAGAAGCCGGCCTCAACGGAAAAGCGACCTCAGATACGGCCGGGGGGGGGGGGGGGGGGGGAAGGAGAGCACGCTGCTCAGAGCGGGGAAGGCTGGGTGCATACATATGATTGAGACCCCTAGAGCCAACCCCTCACCTCAGGGAAGGGAACATGAAGCAGGGGGTATCTTCCTACAGCAGGCAATGGGTAGCTAGAGAGTATGGACAGCTAGCTAGTGGGAGGTGGGGGCTCACCTGGGATTTCTTCCTGTGAATGTGGATGTCACCTCCATCAGCACGTGTGCACACAGCACAGGTCACCATATAGTCCAGCTAGAAGAGAATGCAGTACATGTGGGGGGGGGGGCAGGGTTTGCTGTCTCCCAGACCCATGATCAGCCATCACCACCCACCCCATACCTTCTGCAGGATGAGGTTCAGGCAGACACTCTCTTCCCAGTCGATGTCAGGGTCTCCCAGGCCTGGAAGCTTCTTGGAGTCCCTCCGGTACACTTCCACCTCTACCTCAGGCTCAACCTCGGCCTGTAGCACAGGATGGAGTGAGACCCTAGCACCCACCGGGGCCTCCACTCCATGACTGCTGTGCCAGGCAGACGGTAACACACAAAGACCCCCGTGCCTAGTGCCCACCTCCTCTTCCTTTGCAGCCCCGGTTCTCTAATCTGTACCATAGAAAAAGTTGTGATAATTATGACTCGTATTTCCCAAGCTCCCAGTGACATCTACTGGGCTCTCAGTGGGCAGCAGAGGCTAGTCTACATGTTTTACAAATTATTAACCTTTTATCTGCAAGAAAGGAACCATTAATCCCACTGTAACTAATGATGATCAAACAGGCTAGAGATTACATACCACACACTCATCAAAGAGAGAGCAGAGCCCTGTCTACCCCTACTCCAGGCAGAAGAGGCAGAAGACATCAAAAGCAGGTTTGAAAGCAAGCTGTCCTGGTAGGGGTTCCTGAGCCCAGGTTCTAAGTAGGCCCAGGTGGGTTCCTATAGGGTCAGCTCCAAGAGGCAACAGTTACCTCCTGCTGGACAGCTCTGGGGTCACCTGCAGGAGTGCCCCAGGAGTGGGGCTCTTGCCTCCCATGGTCTCTGTGGCTGTGGGAATCACCACATTGTCTGCCTTGTCTCACTCCACTGCCTGCTTGGCTGTTCCATGCTTAGCACCCATCTTGTTTACTGTCCTGCGGGAGAACCCACACAGGCAGGTGCTCAGCACCGCTGGCTCAGCATGGGGTGGGGAATACCTACAGCACAACTGCACTCCTGTGCTAGGTCAGCAGGCTAGCAGAACGGGTAGCTCATGTGTCACTAGAACACACAGGAACCGCTCAGACAGCCACCCACAGGGGGACAGGTGGGTGGTGGGAACAGTCAGCAACAGCGCCAACAACCAAACTGGAAAATTACAGTCGCCTATGTCAACGGGCATGCTCCCAAGTAAAGGGCTGAGAAGCAGCCAGTGGATACACTGCAGCTCCACACATTAGCTCAGGGTGGGGAAAACCACCTGAGTGGCTAAAGTCCAGCTGAGCCCAGGGAGGGAGCTGCTGGAGGCCAAGGTCCCTTGAGCATACTAGTCATGTTGGATTTCTGGATCTTGAAGGCTGGTGACCCTAGCACTCACAGACATACAAGGTCATCAACCCAGACACCCTTGCATGTATGTACACGACAATCAAGAAAAGCTACCAGCTAGATGTGGTGGTACCCACTGTTAATCATAGGTCTCAGCAGGCAGATCTCTGAGTT